GCGGCCCCTCACGGGAGCGCGGAGGGCTGACCCCCTGGGGCCGCCGTCAACGGCGACACACAAAGGCCGGAAGTGCGCCCGCGTCGGCCTGCGAGGCGCCCTCTCTAGGACCCCGGAGGCCCCACATCTCGGTGGTTCTCCAGACTTGAAGGTTGAGGGTGGGGGTACCAGACCCCGCAAGACCCCGACGCCCTGAGCTTTTCTGGCCCGCTCTTTGGGCAGCAAAATGAATCGAAAGGTACGAATTAGAAATCAAATCACTTATGTGTGTAAGAGAAACCCCACTTAAAATGTATCCAGGCCTGTTTCGGCCCAGGGGATTATCCCGCTAGCTGCCCCCAGGGGGCGAGGGCACGGAGGGCTGGAGAGAGTCCTCCCGGCTCAGGGTCTCTCAGTGGCACAGAGCGCTGGGCGTGTGCTGCAGCGGTCGGTTCGCCTTCCACTGCCGGGGCTGCCTCTCAGAAACGAACACCGTTAAAGCTCACGCGGTGGGGGTGCAGCGCAGTTGTAGAACGCCTGCTTAGCCTGCATGAGGTCCTGGGTTCAATCCCCAGCACCTCCAGTAAACAAAACAAAACAAAACAAAACAAAACTCATGCTTTCAAAATGGCAGGAAACACGTAACAGTTTCAAAGGTGACCAAATGGAGTGGAAAAGTCAGAGAAAAGAGAAGACCGTCTCATACCCATTAGGCTGGCTACTATTAAAAATATCCACCACCACCCACCCCACCCCAGCCCCACCAAAATACTAAATAACAAGTGTAGGCAAGGATATGGAGAAATTGGAACCCTTGCGCGTGGCTGGTGGGAATGCAGAATGGTGCAGCCACTGTGGAAGGCAGTATACACTAACAACAGGACACCTGAAAGATAAAGTGAAACAGTCACATTCACAACAGCATCAAAAACAATAAAACAAGAATAAACTGATGAAGAAGATGAAAGAGCTGTACACTGAAAACTATGTCTTTGATAAAAGAAATCACAAATGGAAAGACGTCTGTGTTCAGGGATTGCAAGAATGTTGTGCAGACATTAAAATGTCTGTACTACACATAGCCATCTATATATTCATTGCAACCCTTATCAAAATTCCAATGGGAGTCCTCACAGAAATAGAAAAAAACCCCCTAAAATTCATATAGATCCACAAAAGACCCCGAATAGCCAAAGCAATCCTGAGAAAGAATGAAGCTGGACGCACCATACTTCCTGATGTCAAGCTTGATTACAAAATATAATAATCAAAACAGTATGGTACTGGCACACACAAAAGACACATAGACCAATGGAGCAGAATCAAGAGCCCAGAGATAAACCCACACATAGATAGTCAACTGATCTTCAACACAGATGCCAGGAAGACTGAATGGGGACAGGAGAATCTCTTCAATAAATGGTGCGGGGAAAACTGGATTTCCACATGCTGAAGAACGAAGCTGGACCCCTATCTTATACCACTCACAAAAATTAACCTGAAATGCATTAAAGACAACTGTAAGACCTGAAACTGTAAAACGAATGAAGAAAACACAAAGGAAAAGACTTCTTGACATTGGTCTTGGCCGCGTTTCTGGAGATGACACCAAAAGCACAAGCAACAAAAGCAAAAAAACTAAGTATTAAACTAAGGAACTTCTGCTCAGAAGAAAATCCACAAAATGAAAAGGCAACCTATAGAACAGGAGAAAATATTTGCAAACCATCTATCTGTGGGCCAGATCTGTAGCCCAGGAGTGGGGCTATTTCTAGACTAGTTTTTCCTGTGAGCCTCTACATGAAGCTGCCTCAGACTGATTTTCAGTAGCGAAAGCCACAAAGCCATGTTTGGAAACTGGAATACTTCTTAGGTGAAGCTACTCCCAGTTAGAAGTTGGAGATTGAGAACTTCCCTTTCTTCAGAAATTAAATTCAATCCAAAATTTTCACTGAGTTAAAAATGGAAATTAGAGACTGAATAAATAGCTGATTTAAAAGTTTGTTTTAAATCAGTATATGTCTGAAGTTGATCTCTGTCCTACTATTGGCCATGTGTTGAGACTTCTGTCCCAAAAGCCAGATCTGTTGGTAAAAGTATCTGGGTCCGACAGCCAGCTCTGGATTAAGCCAAGTTCTTCTGTTCCTTAGTATAATGTCCTCAAGGTTCATCCATGTGGCAGCATGAGTAAGGATTTCCTTACTTTCTAAAGTTGAGTAATATTCCATTGTAGGGATACATCACATTTTATCTGTTCACCTTTTGATGGACAGTTGGGTTGTTCCCACCTCATCTTGTCCTTTAAAGGGGAAATGACATGATCTTACATGTGTCTTCGGAGCACAGAGGATGATCGGAAAGGAGACACTTGGGAGGGCTGTGAATACCTGACTGAGGCGCAGCAAGACGGGAGCATTCTAGGGGGAGGATAGGGCCAGAGTCAGAGCATACATCCATGCTGTCTGGGATGATAGGGAGGGGACAGGAACCCTCCCGTCCAGGTCTTAGCTTGGGAGGCTGGGAGGAGAAGACGGAGGAGAAAGAGCAGGAGAAGGAAGAGGATGAGGAGTAGTTGTTTTGGTTTTCTTTGGAGATAGGGTTTTCTTTGGGGAAGATCAGGCTGGAATTTGGACTTGTGAGTCTGAGACATCCTCAGGACGTCCAGGTGGAAATACTGGAGGACAGGTGTGACAACGAACTGAAATGACTTCATAATTATAAAAGCGATCAGCAAATATAGTTGAAGAGAAATGTCCTCTCTCCTTTCACTCAGGGTTCCCTGCCAAGCCCAGCAGGTTCTTAAAGCTGGGAGTCTGTTAGCTGGACACACAGTGCCCTCTCGTGGCCGTAAGGTGCATCTGCAACCGAGCCTACCCCCTTGGGGGAAAACCGCTCTCCTGAATCCTGAGACAGCACTGACCCGCACGATAGGTTTCAATACCTTGCACGTAGGGATTGGGTGCTCGAGAGTCCAGAGAAGCTGGTCACTCCCTCAGCAGGTGCCGTGAGCCTAGGGGCACCTGTGGGACTGACGCGGGAAGCCCCATGAAAAGACGGGCAGGATACCTATGCAGGGCCGCTGCTCTCCTCCCAGCACCCTCCAGTTCCCTGACCCAGAGGCTCTATCTCACTTTTTGCCTGTAAAGTGGCTAACTTCCACCTAAAATGCTATTGGTTCCCTGAGCTCATTTCTGATTGGTTATTTCCTTCACTCCTGATTGGTTATTTCTCTCACTCCTGATTGGTCCATTCCCCTCACTCCTGATTGGTTCTTTCACTCCTGATTGGTCTATTTCTACAAAACTTGTTCTTGGTCAACTTCTGTTACACTTTATTTGCATATGATGTTGCAAAGTGTAAAACTGGCAGCCTATAAAAGGCCTGTGTAAACATACGGGGGGGGTCCAGAGCTTGAAGCGTTTGCTATCCTGGGCATACTGGCGTAATAAACCTGAGTTTTCCAATTCTCCAAGTGCTGCTTGGTTTTTTGCCGGGATGGAGGTTGCTATTAAAACTGAGCTGTAACACTAAGCTGTAATAAATTTTTCTGCAACAGGACAGCAAAATGGGAGATTAAGAAGGGAAGAACGTCTAGCTTGAAGGAGTCCAATACTTTTTCTGTAAACCTTGTTGTTTATCTGAAATGTTGCGGAAAAACGTGTTGCAGCTCGGTTGTGACAGCAACCTGGACCCCAGAGGCCAAACAGCACTCAGAGAGTTGGGGAACTCAGGTTTATTAACACCAGTGGATGCAGAGAAGTTAATACTCCAAGCTCTGGACTCCCTATGTTTACACAGGCCTTTATAGGCTGCCAGTTTTACACTTTGCAACATCGTATGCAAATAAAGTATAACAAGTTGACCAACCAGGAACAAGCTTTGTAGAAATTGAGCAATCAGGAGTGAGAAATAACCAATCAGGAGTGAGGGGAATGGACCAATCAGAAGTGAGAGAAATATCCAATCAAGAGTGAGCTCCATGCAAATGAAGTACTACAAATGGACCAATCAGAAGTTAGGGAAGTGGACCAATCAGAAGTGAGAGTAATAACCAATTAGGAATAAAGGAAATAGCCAATCAGAAATGAGCTCAGGGAACCAGTAGAATTTTAGAGGCAAGTAAGCCCTTTCAGAATCAAAAAGTGAGATAGAGGCTCTGCGCCAGGGAAGCGGATGGTGCTGGGACGAGAGTAGTGGCCCTGCTTGGAGCCCTGCCGGTCTTTTCATGAGGCCTCCCGCCTCAGAAACACATACAAGGAACCCCACAAACAAGAAAGAGCCTGGGAGGCGAGCGCTCCTTCATCCTCGCGGTCCCTCAAGTGCGGTCAAGGCCACTGTGGTAATTCTGTCATCGTCCTCCTCCAGGACCCTCCTGCAACCCCGGCTCCTGCCTCCCCACTCACACCTTTCTAGGAGGTGTGGGATTTAACCTCTTCTGTGTGGCGGGAATCCCAGCAGTTCCGGCTCCCATCTTTTCCCTCACTAGGAAACGTGCTGCGTCCGCCCAGCCCCCGGTCAGATGCCTGGTATCTGCGGGGTTCCCTCAGAGCTGAGATCTGAGGTGCCCAGAGCTGGCTGCAGCACTTGGGGATTCGGAGGAGAGGAAGGAAGGGAGAGAAACAGCACAACAGAACCCAGGGAACAGTCTGGACTGAGCTTGTCGCCTGCATTCTGAGCATTCTCCCTTGTCCTGTTGTCCGCAAAAGACCACGGTTTTGTCCTGATTGGGAGGCTTCACGTGGCTTAGACTAAACGCTCGTTCCCAAAGCTCCGCGTCCCCCAGTGCGTTCTCTGCACGGATGCAGCGAAGCCTCCATCCCTCCTCCCACTCGTCCCTCTGCGGTCCCTGAATGTAGCGCCCCGCTCCCAGCCACGTGGGCCAGCACTCACACTCTGAACTCAGCCTCCACCATCCCAGCCACAGACCCGGGGCTTCCCCTCACGTGGGAGCCTCAAACCGCATACTCCACGACCCACTGGGGACATGGAGTGTGTACAGGCAAGAAGGGTGTAATCTTGCCAAGGAGCTAGGGCTGCTGATTAAGCAAGATTTCCAGGCTCTGGCCCAGTTTACAGAGCAGAGAGAGGGACTCTCTGCGGGGGTGGGGGTGGAAAGGCAAAATCAAAATTAGGTAAGGTGGTATTGGGGTACTCACAGCAAAGACCCCGGGGATATACTTTAAAAATATGTCAATGTTGAAAAGCTGTCATGTGGCTTCACGTAGGGCATTTCGCAAGTCTGATGGCCACAGGGGGTGACAGGTGGGAGAAGCAATCAGTGAGAGGCGACTTAGTGGGGGCCTGTGCTGCCTGGGCACCCTCCCCTGGCTCCTCTCTTCCCGTGTTACTTACCTGGAGACCCGAGCAAGGGCTGGTCTGCAGGTAGAGGTGCACAGAGAAAGGAATCTTACCCCTGTAGCCCACCTGAACCCCAGCTCTCCCCCAGGCCCTGCTCTGGCCACCACTCGGGCCTGCCTCCTGCCCTTTCATCTGCGCAGCCTCAGTCGGAGGAAAGAGGACCGGCAACTGGGGAGCCGTGGTGGGGGTGGGGTGGGGCTGGGGGCTGCAGAATTACTCCTGGAGATGTTGTTGGTGCAAGGGCGGTGCCAGGAGGTGATGGCTGGGAGGGGCACCCTGGGTGTGGCTCTGAGTTTGGCCATGTCGGTCTCAGAGCCCAGGACGTGGAGCGGTCCCAGGCAGGAGGAAGAAATGCAGCCTCCCCGTTACCTTCCTAACCTCCCCAGCTTCTGTGTCACCTCTTTGTTCCCGCTGTCTACCGCTGTTCGATTCTTAGACGTTTAAGAAAAAACCTGAGCACTGACCATCTCCAGTTCTTGCCTCCCCATCCCTGCTCAGGCCACGGCAACCTTGGCTGCGTTTGGTTCTCTTAACCATTGGGGTGGAGAGGAAGGCTAGGCTACGCGGGAGATGGGAGATGCCTGACAGCTGGAGCCAGGAGGGCTGGGGGAGCCACTGATTCTGGTTCCTAAAGAGAAATGGCATCAAGGAGTGGTCCCTGGACGCAGCTCTGCAAGACTGCGCCTGTCACACAGACCATCGTGTTCTAAGTTGGCTGCCTAACACGTGGCACATCTGAAGTAACAAGAAAGCACAGTAAATAGAAAAGAGATGAGATGAAAGCAATCAATTTAACTGTCAGTAATCAATATATTTAAATAGGTTAATTCCCGAGATTAAAATAGAGATGTTCAGGACTTAATTCTCCACTCCCCAAGATCCTTAAGAAGACACCCTCTTACCCAAAAGCTTTTTCCTGTTTTGCACTGTGTGAAATAAGCATCAGCCCAGAGCGGAGGAGGCTCTGGGGCAGTCGCAGGAGTCCGCAATCCAACGGCTTTGTGATGGGCTGAATTGTTCCCTCTCCCCGAATTCATCTGTTGAAGCCCTAACTAACTCCCGGGACTTCGGCATGTGACTGTATTTGGATAGGGCCTTTAAAGAGGTGATTGAGTTAAAGTGAGGCCATTAGGGGGGCTCTAATCCAATCCGTGCGGTGTCTTTACAAGAAGAGGAAACGTGGACACAGCAGGGCGGCGCAGGCACAGAGGGTCAGCTACAGGAAGACGCAGGGGGCAGCCGGCCTCTGCAAGCCAAGGGGCGAGGCCTCAGGAGACACCATCCTGCAGACGCCTGATCTCGGACTTCTCCCTCCAGAACCGGGAGAAGTGAATTGCTGTTGTTCACGCCGCCCAGTGTGTGGTGTTCTGCCCCGCAGGCCCAGGAAACAAACACATCTATGTGCAAGAACAGTGGGTGCTGAGAGGTTACAGGCGGGCACCAACACCGTCTGCCAAAGGGGCCAGCTCATTTCATCAGATTCTCAAGGGGGTGATGATCTCCCAAAGTTGCAGAGTCACAGAGTAGAGATTTCTAACTCAGGTGGAGACTGAGAGAGAAAGGTATTAAATGTGCACCACCCCAGCCTCTGAGGCTGCTCACCCGGAGTCATTTGCCCGGCAGGAAGAGAACCCACTAGAAGGTGGTGTGCGGGGCAGAGGCTGATCTCCCAGAAACCACCAAGGGGCTGTGTGAATGAACTGGGACAATAACTACATAAAGGAAGACCCCAGCAGCCTTAGGTTGTCTGTGCACTTCCGAGTTATGATGAACTTCATCTTCATGCTGGGAAGAGGAAAATGAAATACAGTGAAGCTGCCTGTGGCGGGGCGGGGCGGAGTCCTCTCCCTTCTGCACTCTAGGGCAGCCAGGGACGAGGGCAGCCCTCTGATAAGGTGGCTACTGGGAAAATTCAGTTGGGTCTCCTCAGTTTGGGACACCTGGGGTTCCTTCCTCTCTCTGCCAGCTCTTTAAGAATGACTGATAGCAGTTATTCATCTCTCAGGAAGAAGGTATTTCCACTTCCTGGAGCTCTCCTGCTGTCCTGGATCTTAATCCAGCCACCTTGGCTTCGCCAGATTCATGGGAGCCAGTGGATTTCCTGACACTCAAGTGGGAGACCTCGCCCGGGTGAGCGCAGCCTGCCTGCACCTTTGCATTTGGACCACGAGGGGGCGCCCAGGGCCGTGCTGAAGCTGTGTCTGACCGGCCTGGGAGGCGGGGTTGTTGAGGAGGATCCTGTCAGAGGGTTTGCAGGCAGGGTCAGGGCAGGTAAGGAGAGGATGCGAAAAGTGGGGCGGAACTGGGAACTTAGCTTGCAGCTCAGGACAGAGGTAGAGAAGACGGAGGTCTGAGCTGTAAGAGCGAGGAAGAGCGCAGAGAGAAATGGCATGGATTGGATTGGAGGCTGATTCTGGGAGGAGCTATTCTGGGAACTCAAGCAGTGACTAGGGGCACCGGAAGTACGATTCCGGGTGGGTCATCTTGAAAACTCTTCCTCAGGTGGGAAGCAGGGAGTTGCTTTTCCTTATAACAGGGCCAGGGTTCAGTATGTCCCAGTCTCTGAAGCCACGTGGACCCCCAGTCACCGAGGACTGGGTGGTGGCTGTGGTGGGGGAGGGACATACTGTGGAAATAGGACCCACCGACCTGGTGATGGATTGGGCTTGGTGGGTAGGGAAGAGGAGAGAGCTTGAGGAGAACGTCTAGATTTCTGGTTCAGAAGAGAAGTGAGGGCTGAAGAGAGAAAATTGGGAGCTTCCAGCAGATTGATGGTCTCAAGTTCATGGAAATGCAGTGAAAATCCTAGGTGAGGGTGGGCATGGTAAATAGAGGAGGGTCCCTGCATTAATAGTGAAAGGCAAACCGAGTTACCAGAACCCCCTCTGCATCTCAAAAGGCTTAACAAAATAAAGGTGTGCGGCCATCCTGTGTGTCCAGGAGGACTGTGGATTGGTTCGGTGAACACACAGCATTGTTTGTGCCACAGGGCAGGACCGAGCTTCCATCAAAGGAGGCTGAGGGAGGAGGTCTGTGTGCAACATGACAGCCCACAGAGGAGGGAGCTGCAGGAAGTGACTCAGATAAAAACCTTGGGATGCAAACTTGAGTCATCCCTTGTCCCCACAGCTCATATCCAACCCATCAGCAAGCGCGGTACTCATCAGATCCTTTTCTCAGCAAGTCCTGTAGACTTGAACTCCAGAATATTTCCTCACCTGGCTGCTGACTACCTTCTGCGCTACTGCCACTCTGGTCCGAGCCCCTCCCAGGGCTTGGATTAGTTTCCATGATGCCACCCTTGCATCACCGGGGTCAGTTCACATAGCAGCAAGAGGGACGTTTTAAAAAACTTAAACTAAATGATATTGCCATCTTGGTTAAAACCCACCAGAAGCTGCCATTTACAACAGAAATTCCTTCCCAAGCGGTACGTGGTCTGGCTTCTACCTGCCTTTTCAACATCTCTTGTGACTCTGGTTCATGATACTCCAGCCCCACTGGTCTATATTCTGTCTTTCGAACACTGAGACGGCTGCTGCCCCGGGGACTTGGCATTTGCTGTGCCCTCTGCCCCAAATGCTCTTCCCCCAGCTATCCCCATCTTTTATTTCTTCACTTTTGTTTCTCTTTCTTTTCATTTGGGAAGGAACAAAAAAAGAGAATCAGTGATGGCTGGTCTAGGATGGCTTGTGACATCCTTCGATGGTGTGGACAGTGGCTTCACTCAGATGTCTTTCTTGAAATCTCCCCTGATATTTCTATCTGAAAGAAATCTCAGCATGAAGACAATGCATGTTGGAATTGGTAATTGTCGCAGTGGTTGCAGGAGGAGGTGAGATTTGAGCTGGACCTTGACAGTGGGTACTGTTTCAGTAAGCAGACTTGGGGTAACCTCCATGCAGGGACAGGCTGTACCCACCTTGTTCTGCTGGGTCTCCAGTGCTTCTTAGAGGACCAAGCAGAAAATAGATACTCAGTATATGTTCTTGAATGGACCAATAAACGAGCCAAGGAAACAGAGAGAAAATGCTAAACAGGTCTGACGACAGATAATAACGTCTGTTTGGCTGGAAGAGCAAGTTCTAGTGGGAAACAAGGGCGGAAAAGCAGCGTTCAAACTGCAGAGGGCTTCAGCAACGAATGTAAGTCTTCTGTCCAGCTGGTGTCTCTTGCCTGTTTTAGAGCGCCCCACCCCTCTAGTCTGGCTGGTGGACTGTCCCCAGAGGAGTCCTCCAGAGAGACAAGGTAGTACTGAGGGGCAGAGGAATTGCTGAGAAGGAGACAGCTTGTGGCAGCGAGCCCCTCCTGTGGTGGGAATCCTCAAGCTGCACTTCAAGTTGGTTCTGCCTGCACGAGAATCTGTTGGTGGTTCTTGGCTGGGTGGGCAGGAGGGGACCACGGAGGGACCCATGTTGGTTCTCTGGACCCCTTCCTCCTCCCAGGTGTGACCAGTCAATGCCCACGGCCTGGCCCCACCCTCAGGTTGCTTCCCTTGTCAGGACCTTGTGACCGTCACATCTCAGCTGCCTCACACCTGAGTGGTCAGGAACGCTCTTTTTACCTCTTCTTGGCAAGCTGTCTTAGGCGTCCTCTGAAATCTGAATCCATCCAGGAAGTTCCTCTGGGAGTCTGAGTGGCTCTGAGCCCTGTCCTTGTCCCCACACCTGGCCAGGACTCAGGTCTTCTGAGGTTTCCTCCCAGCCGCCCACCCCCACCCCACCTCTCCTGTTGCAGGCGGGGCGGATCTCATATTCCAATCTGCCTCAGCTCTCACCTGCTCACCTGACTCTGGGTTTCCTCACTGATCTGAAAATTTTCTCCTGTCACGTTATTCTTGACTTGTTCACTGTCTCAGAATATTTTGAGGTATCAATTGCTGTACTTTCCCATCTTGGCTATTTGAATTTTCTTCTCTGTACCTCCTATGGGTCAGACAAGACTTTTGTTTTGTCCCAGAGGAGGAAAACGTGGTATCATGTAGACTAAGGAAGCTATTTCTTGGCTTTGATTTTCAAGCTGGATTAAAGTATTAAAAAAAAGTATAGCCTTCAAATTTAGGATCTTAAGAAACAGAGAATTCTGTAGGCAGGGAATGACTTTTCTAAGGAGTTCAGCTTGGCAGGCTGCCTTTGGGGTAGTTGGGAGTGGGAGGCGGAGGCTGAGACGTGAAGGAAGGTCTTATGCAGGGAGGGAAAAACAGTCCTAGGCGGGCGAGTCTTAATAAAAAGATAAGGTATGAATGTTTTGCTCTGTCTTTGGGGCTTGAACTGCTGGATGGGGGTGGGTGACAGTTAAAAAACACACTCAGCTGAATTTGGAGGATCTCCAGGAACATCAGGGCTGGTTCCTGCTTCCTGGAAGAGTGTCCTGAGGGAAAGAAACCTCTCAGATAAGCCCTGGCGTGTTGTTCCAAGGCCAGCGTGGTGTAGGGCCGGCCGGGGAGCTGGCGTGGAGGGCGGCGTCTCACAGGGAGCGAGCGCGTGTCAGGGAAACTGAGGTGCAGAAGAGGCTTGGGTTTGAATAAAGAGAATGCAGAGTCCTACGGCCTCATGGCCAGAGGGGACACCAGCAGTGGGCACCCGCACACTGCCTAGGGGACCCGGTGGCCTGGGCCATGCTAGGGTGGATGCCACAGATGAGATGCCCAGTAAACACTGCCTGGAGTGGACCCCAAGAATTTCAGATGAATCCAATACCTTGTTCTAATGTTAATACAGAATTAAAGTAAAATGTTCCTTGGCAATTAAAAAAAAGGGGGGGCATGATGCATGATAAACTCCCACATTTCTACAGAATTTGCAGTTTAAAATACCTTTTTATATGCACGTGCTCAGCAAGGGGATGATCGTTGATTTGATTTTACAGATTAGATAACAGGGCTTTGCAAGGCGGTTTGGCAGTGAGTCCGCTCAGCGCCCGGCGCCCAAGCCTCCCGTCTCTGAGTCCACCACCGCCTCCTGCGCGCTTCCCCGGGCCCGGCTGGGGATGCCAATGGTGGATTCCAGAGTTCAGCTCCCTCACGACCTGCAGAAGGGGTGGCTACTGGGCCTGAGCGCCCACGTTGCCTTCAGCCCTGGCTTCCTGCCTTGCATCCCACGGGATGGTGAGGGGCTGGGCCAGGCTGCTGTGTTCCACGTGGCAGGAGTGGGGGGCTCTGTCCTGAGCGGGGACTCCCACCACCACCCAGGACTGGTAAGAGCCATTTCCGTTGGGAAGAACGTCTCCCCCTGACTCGGTCTCCTGCACGTTGCCGGGCTGAGTCCAGTGTAGACGGATTCCTCGGGGGTAGAAGTCATAGGCCAGGCACTTGAGTGTCCTCGTTTTTCCTGGGGCCACGTGGCTGGTGACTGACACAGAGGGGGAGACTGCGGAGGGACAGAGCGTGGATACCGAGGGCCCAGCGTCTCCCTGGCCACGGCGCCCCCTCCCCGGCTGCAGTGGTGAGCGGAGCTCTAAGCGCTGTATCTGCCTCCTCGGGGAAACCTTGTGAGGCTCCAGGAAGGCTGAGGCTTCTCACAACCCTCCCCCATTGGAGCACGGAGCGTCTGTGGCTGCTCTCTTCCTTGCCCCCTTTCCAGCATGTACTGATTTTGTTTTTAAATGGAAGAACTGGGGATTGAACCTAGGTCCTTATGCATGCTAAGCACATGCTCTACCACTGAGCTACACCCTCCCTGCTACCCCGTATTAACTTCTGATGTCAAGAAATTGTGAACGTGCCAAACATTTTTCTGTTTTTTCCCCCCAAACCTCTGAATGAGCTCTGTGGCGCCATCTCCCCCAATCAGTCCCCCGCTTTCTCCATCCATCAGACCCGTCCCTGCTCCCTGACACTTGACCCCCTTCCTCATTACTTCCCAGACCAAAGTCTCAGCTTGTGACAATCAATCCTGCTCACACTGATTCACACCTGTTTTCATCCTTCTGGGGCAGACGTTTTGCACACCTGCCTCCTCTCCACCAAGCCGGGAAGCACCATCGCGGAGAGAAATGACCAGAGAATTTGCCTGAGATGTTCCCTGAGCGCCCAGCCTGAGATCACCTTGGTCTTTCTCAGCTGGGTGAGGGAAGGGGGAGGTGGGGAGAGCCGGACGTAGGAAGCAGTGGGTACCTTGTCGGTCCAGGTGGGTCCTGCTGTATTCCAGGTACCTCTGCAGCATCCCTGGGCACTCCTCCTCCAGGTAGGCCTTGGCCCGCTGCACGTACACTTCTTCTGCCTCCCACTTCTGCTTGGTGTTCAGCGCTGCTGGGTCCAGAGCGACCCAGGCTGGGATTTCTTTGTTGAACTCGATGAAGTCCTGACCGTCGTAGGCGTACCTCCAGAACGCTCCACTGCTTTTATTTCTCCGGAGCTCACAGCCAAACATTCCCTGGAAGGTGTGAGACCCTGCATCCTCCCCCCGCCCCTGGAAGTCAGCCAGCCCGGCATCAACTCCGTCTCAAGCACTCTGACACTTACTCCGCAGTTTGCAGCCCAGCAGGAAGAAAGGGTTTTGAAATCTAAGCGTGCAATCCCTTTCTTGTGGCAAATGGGTTATGAGTCAGACGCGCAGCAGATAGAGAGGGGGAGCCCGGGTTTGGTTTGGTGTTCTCGGCCAGTCTGAGATGAGATATATTTTTCCCAGCCAGAGAATCTCAGAGAGCTACAGCCTTCAGGTAGATTTTCTGGCCCCTCTGCATTGCCTCATTTAACAGTCTTTGTCTGAATATACTGTGAGTTCAGGAACCTGACGTGGCTACACTGAAATGTGTGTCCATGTTCAACAGAAATTATTTGTCGTGTTACAGAGATTACAAAATCTCTCCTTTTTTTTCTCAGTTCTAGGTGGAGTTGATGGCACCACTTGAGTAGACATACTTTGCTCACTTCTCCCCTCTTCCCCATGTTTGAAATCTTTAAGACAAATCTCTCAAGCCCCACCTCCCTTCCCTACTGGCAATGACTCTCGACTCTCGGAAGCTGGCCTCCTTAGGGAAAGGGAACACAGCCTTTTATTTTGATTATGAAAGTAGGTGTTTCCCTGAGGCTGACGAGTGCTGTCGGCCGGGCTCTGGTCTCCAGCTACCTGGGCTCCAATCCCAGATCGCTCCACCCCACTGGGCTTGTTGCATGAATTTGAGCCACTGACCTCTCCGGGCTTCAATTTTCTCACCACTGAAATGGTAATGGCGCTGGAACTATTAGAGGGTTATTGTGAGCGCTGCGCGTGTTGATCCCTGTGCCTGGCACATAGTAAGTGCTCAATAAATGTTAACGACTGTGATCTTCCGACACCCTGTGCTCCTTTCTTCATTCTCCTTCCTCGTAATTACTCACTTCCACATTTCTATTCCAGCCAGTCGGAATGTCTCCCAGCGTCCTTGCGGGCATCTGTGCAGTATTCTTTCTTACTTTGGACACAGCCCAGGCCATTTTCCCACCCACCCACATCCTTCACATTTCTGCAGAACTCTTGCCTCTTGGGGGAAACTTTCAGATTCCACATAGCTTCTTGGGCATTTTTGTCCTCAGAAACCCACCCTGTGGTGGGGGCAGTGTGGTTCAGGAGAAGGTGCTGGGCTGGGAGACTGCCCAGCTCTGTGCTGGCCCCTCACACCATGAGATGACCCCCCCCGAGTCTGCTTTTTATCATCAGGAGGGTCTCTGTGGTCCCCTGTAACTCTGAGAGTCTGACGTCTTGAATACAGGCCTTACTGAGCTCCTCATGTGGGCCCTGGTTTATGCCAGCTCCTCCCGCTCAATTGCTCAGTAGATTTCATTTGAATAAGTCTTACTGGAGCCCTAGGGGAGATCCAGACAGACTATGTGCCAACCTTTATGGAATTTATGTAGGTAAGTTTGACCGATTCTCTTGGAGGCAGGTCTCAAGGCTCCAATTTTTACAGATTCAGACCAGATAACTAAGAAATGCATTCATTGTCAAATAGCTCGTGACTGGTGGAGCCACCGTGAACCCAGGACAGACTGACCCCAAGGTTATCTCGCTCTCCAGCCCCCATCCCCAGGCAGGGGTGAGTCTGACACTTAGAGTGAGATCAGCCTCAGACAGGCTGGGGTGTGGAGCTGAAGGGTCAGATGTGCCTGGCTTAGCGCTGACTCTGCCATCACTTCCTGGGAGTGAGGATGGGTGAGCAGGAAGGCAGATGTGATGTGGGGTCGAGGGGGTGATGCAGAAACGCCTGTGCATTTCCGCCTGTGCTTCCCCATCCTCCTCTGGGGCAGGAGTTACTTCTGTCCTGTGGACATCCTGCTCACAACAGTGGGGTTGCCCCTTGAGCCAAGACCCTCCACCCCAGCAGTCCGTGGTCCACTGACCTTCTGCGTCCTTGTAGTGGTCCATGATGTCTTTCAGGGTCACCATGAAGATGTCCTCCCTGGCCTTCTGAAGTTCGCTCTCCTTCTCCCAGTCCTCCATCCCTTCCACCTGGCTCCACGGGCCCAGGGGCTCAGCCTTCCTGCCTTCACTGTCGTAGTGGAAGAAGGGCTGGTCATTGAGGTAGGCGGTGGCCTGGAAGCTTGGGAAGCCTTTGCTGGGCCTGGACAGCCCCGTGTAGAGGAAGCTCAGAGAGTAAGGTCCTGCAAAGGAGGAGAAGACTTTGAGGAGTGAGGTCCATGCAGGGGAGTCCCCGTGCAGGGCAGCAGAGGGCCAGGACGGGAGAGGCCACGGGGCCTTTTCCTCCTCAGCTCTCTCCAGCTGGCTGTCAGTCTCGAACCACTGGAGGCCCCCCTGAGGGAAAGGGCCCAGCTTCTGTCCTGGAGATGCTATCTCAGAGCCCGCTTTGTGCCTTCGCTACATCATTTCTTCTTCTTGGCATCTGAAAGGATAGCGTTTCTCAGCCTCCTTGTAGGCTTATTAGGCCCATGTGACTGGGTTCTGTTGAAAGGAAATGTGAGTGGAAGTGATGTCTTTACTTCAGTCTGAGCCCCTGGGAGCTGCTTAGGCCCACCTCTCTCCCCTCCTTTTAGGCGGTGACTCTGGAGGCCACGGGATAAAACGGAGAAGTCCCAGGATGCAAACAACCCGGACCCCTGAGTCACCCCATGGAGGAGAGGAAATTGTGTGGTCTGTATCCAACTTTATGTGAGCAAGAAATAAATATTTTCTGGGTTAAGCCACCAAAAACTTTGTCACTGGACAAGTGCACATAGTTAGAAAGTGTAGGAAGGGAAATTTACTAGAAAACTCAGGAAATGACCTAGAGTAGCTTGGCACAGGGTAAGACGAGGATGCCTCTCTGAATTGCCAGGGCTGTAACCTTGCATTTTGGTATGAGGGAGGGCTTAGGGGGGGCATTCCCACAATTAATTCCATAATTAATTCATGATATAACTCGCCTGGGTGTTCATAATATTGGAGCTCATATGGTAGATTCCTAGTTCAAGCACTGAAATTGTTTTTGCTAATTAGTTTCTGAACGTGATGACCATTTAACTCAGTAGACCCCAAGTAAAGCAGATTCCCCTCCAGAATGTGGGTGGGCCTCATCTAATCAGCTGAAGGCCACAGAGAAAAGACTGAGGTCCCCCAGAGAAGAAGGAATTCTGTCTCCAGACTGCCTGCAAATTCAAGACTGTAACATCAGCTCTTCTCTAGGTCTCCAGCCTGCTGACCTATTGTGCAGATTTCTAATTTGCCAGCCCAGCCCCCACAATCATGTGAGCCAATTCCTTCAAGTAAATCCTTTTTCTCTAACATCCAGTTAGCTCTATTTCACTGGAGAACCTTGACTAATACAGATTTTGATATAGGATGTAACCGTCTAAACGTGATTAGTCATTATAGAACTAACATGAAACACATACTGTGACAGTTTGTATGTGTAATAAACTTTAAACATGCCCAGTTTAACTTACATTTCTTCATCCTGAGACTCTGTATGCCAAAAGACAGCCTCGCTCCCCTGTCCTAGAATTGGCCCTTGGTCTTCCCAAGCTCCAGCTGGCTTCTTTCCCGAGCCACTCACTTGGCAAGCCCAGTGTAGTCATGTCTGACTGTGGAGTGAGGGAATGTGTTTCCTTCTAGAACCACCTTTCCAGTTAACCTGCCTTCACAGCCATCCCTTGGGGTTGCTTTTTCTTTCTCTGAAAGTCAGACAGGTACATCCAGTGACTAGAAGGTGGGAAGGGAGGAGAAGTTCTACCTGTGTGGCTCCTGCTCTGTCTTGGCTGTGTGACCCTGGGCAGGTCACTTCACCCCTCTGGGTCTTAGTTTTGTTTATCTGTAAATGAAGAGTTTCTGATTCTGATTCTTTAAGGTCTTATTTTGCCCGAGTCCAGAGGCTCTCTGAGTGCTTCTGGAAGTGTTAGTTGACAGCCTTGGACACCCATTCCCATTGTACACTTGGGAATCCCGGCTACATCGGGGCTCTTCTCCCGGCCTCGGTGTCCAGTTCATTGCCTCCCCTCCGTTCTTCTCCACACCCACCCCTTGCTTCCCCACTCACCAGCCTGGGTCTCCTCGGGGACTGCAGCACCGAGAAGGAGCAGCAGGGACAGCAGGACGGGCGCCATTGTGCCCACTGCCCCGCTGCGAGGTTCTGGACCCCTCAGTCCCGGAGCTCAGAGCGGGCTACCTGGAGACAGAGCCAGGTGTAGTTACGGGAAGGGCTGGGCTTTCAGCCCAGTGCAGGGGAGGTGCGTCCACAGGCCAATGAGAGGCGCCAGGACCGGCTCCTCCCCTGACAGCGAGAGAGAAGGATGCGTAGGCCGGGCTGGGCAGAGGGTGTGCTCAGTGAGTCCACAGCTGAACTGGGCTTGGGTTCAGTGAAGCAGATGCTCCTTCTCTGAGTCACATGTCAGTGCAGGAAAGAGGCACGCACAGCAGACAATCCTTTCTTGTGGTCTTGGCGGCTCCTGGGGGTAGCGAGGCAGCAGTAGTCCCGGGGGCATCCAGTATCTGCTGGGTGGTGTCACCAGTCCAGGCTGCGGCATCTGGTTGCCCCGGTGGCGGCAGATGTGCTATAGGACTAGTCCTGTAGTCCAGTGTCTGGCAGAAAGAGGACAATCAATGGACACTTAGAACAACAGATCAATGGATAAACGAGCAAAGTTGCAGAGAGATGGCATCAGACCTACTTGAGGGTCTTTGAGGCCAGCTTGGTGGAAACGGAGTTCAGGAAGAAGCCTGAGGGGTTGGGCAGCTGGGATGATAAATTCAAAAGAAAAGTTGAGGTCAGAGTCTGGGGGCCCAATCCAATGAGAGTCCAGTGTTCAAAGAATGAGACGCATTCCACGAGCCATCTTTTCCCTGCCAGCCCGCACTCTCTCCTGCCCCAGCCCTCTTGGTCAGCACTTAGCCTTCTATGCCCCCTACGTCTCTGCCCATTATTCTCAAGATCATTTCTATTTTTTTTAACTTAAAAATTTTATTTATTTATTTTCCTTCAAGAGAATTATTAATGCATAAAATAAAACATGCAGGATGCAGAGGAAGCCCATCACATGGAAATGCAGTTCTCTCCGTGCACCCTGGGGGCTGACAGGCAGTCTGCAGAGGGGTCCCCCAGATACAGAGCAACATGCTGTTCTGAAGCAGCTGGGGAATTGTCAAGAAGGAGATAATATGTGGCAACAAACCCCTACTGGGGTGGGGAGAATCTGTTGGTGGTTCTTGGCTGGGTGAGCAGGAGGGGACCATGGAGGGGACCACAGAGGGACCCACGTTGTTTCTCTGGACCCCTTCCTTCTCCCAGGTGTGACCAGTCAATGCCCACGGCCTGGCCCCACCCTCAGGTTGCTTCCCTTTTCAAGACCTTGTGACCTTCACACGTCAGCTGCCTCCCTCCTGAGTGGTCAGGAACGCTCTGTTTACCTCTTCTTGGCAAGCTGTCTTAGGCGTCCTCTGAAATCTGAATCCCTCCAGGAAGTTCCTCTGGGAGTCTGAGTGGCTCTGAG